ATAGAGATCCTTTGCTACATAAAGAGGTAATCAAAGAATGAGTAACTGCAGACTTCAGTCACAACACTTGCAGGTTTCTCTTTGATGAGATTCAAAAAGAAACACAATATGTGCCATGCTGTCACAGGTTAAAGTATTAAAGACCAAAGGGTATAGGTAGCTCTATAGGAAGAAGACTTCTGACATTTGAAAAAGCCAGTTTAACAGACCCAAAGTGTAATATGGTGGAAACCCATGGAAAGAAACACCAATGTAGAAACAAAGTGTGTGTTTTAACAAAGAATATAACTGATAAATTTGGGTTTTGCATAAATTTTGTGTGGCAGCTAAAAAGTCTTGATACCCTCTGAGCAAGGATGATAAACAAAGCGTGTTTCTAGTGGCTCATTCATGCTGACTGAAAGTGGTTTACAAATGAAGTATGATCATCTTACAAAGGAATTACATTACAGGTTTTTAACTACAATAGCAGGGGCATAGCCCAATGACCTATAAGGTTTACATCCTCATTTTCTTCGTTTAGATAATAATGCATTTATTTTGAAAAAGTATTGGATCTGAGGTCAAATGGGACAACTTCAATGTTACTATAACAAACACAAAATTAATACTGCACGTTACAAAACTGAAATATACTTTTTGCATAGGAAAGTAGCTTTTAATGCTAAATTAAGAACAAAATAGTTGAAGGCCAAGTACAACAATTTGGTTAATAAGGGGTAATGTGACAAACCCATACTCGGTGCCTTGTTCACCACTTTGGAATATCCACACAGAATAGTCAACATATTTTGCCTCGGAATAAAAACTAATCAAAAGAAATAGCCGCAACCTACATACAACTTACCTTTCAAGACTCATTGGGCCAGGCACGTCTACTCCAGAACACTATAAAGGATAGTACATGAGTACATTTGTGCAATTTATGTTGTATATAAATTCCCAATCCTATAGATACATACAGAGCTACACATGTCTGAAAAATGACTTGTGCATAAAGTTATACTGCAGTTGTATTTATGATGTTGCAAATGTAAGTGCTCTACCATTGCCATGAACTGTATAAAGAAGTTAGCCCAGATGGAGAAAGCTGAAGCAACATTTCCAATATACTCCTATCCTTTCATTCCATCATGAGACTGCCATTTCTATTCAATTTGTCTCATTAGTACTTCCTTCATAGGTAAAGACCACTGAAAGTTCAGAGACTTGTCCTGCCCAGTATTAGCAGGGCTGACATACCCATTCCTCTTAACAGTGACTGTAAGCACAGGTTGCATAGTCATGCAGCCATTTTCCTTACTGGTGACATTATTAATTTTGTTAGGTTTCTTGCGGCCCTCATGGTTTAAGGATGGTTATGCCCATATTCCAAGATTAGCAAATTACTTTTCAAACTACTTTCATTTGCGCTGTTCTTTTTTGTGGGGTTTTTTTTTTTTTTCTGATTTTTTATTTTCTTGAAATATCTTCCACATAATGCCAGAAAACCTGGTGTGGAGAAAAGGAAAGTGAAAGCTGTTAACACCTATGATGCTTGAAGGGCCTGTGTTTGCAGTATTTTAACATTTCTCTCTATGTCCTACATCAGTTTTCTTATTAATTTGATCCTAACTAAAAGAAAGTAGAAGGTGGCAGGTCTGATTGCAAGAAGCCACAGATGTCAACTCAGGAACTCTGAAACACCACTGGGTAGTTAGAATCACAGAATCAGCTAGGTTGGAAAAGATCTTTAAGATCGTCAGGTCCAACTGTTACCCAAAGACTGGCAAGACCACCACTAAACCATGTCATTGAGAGCCTCATCTACACAGTTTTTGAACAGTTCCAGGGACGGTGATTCCACCGTTTCCCTGGGCAGCCTGTTCCAATGCCTGAGCACCCTTTTAGTGAAGAAATCTTACCTAATTTTTCCTGGGCCTGCTAGTAATGCTGTTTCTGATACAGGCCAGGATGCTGTTGGCCTCCGTGGCTGCCTGGACACAAGCTGACCCATGCTCAGTGGCCACCAGTCAGCACCCACAGGTCCTTTTCTGCCAAGCAGCTTTCCAGCCACTCTTCCCCAAGCCTGTAGTGTTACACTGGGTTGCTGTGGCCCAGATGCAGGACTAGGCAATTTACGTTGTTGAACCTCATACCACTGGCCACAGCCCATCAATCCAGCCTGTCCAGATCCCTCTGTAGAGCTTTCCTACCCTCCAACAGATCAACACTCCCACCCAGCTTGGTGTCATTTGCAAACTTACTGAGGGTGCACTTGAACCCCTCATCCAGATCATCAATGAAGACTCTAAACAACACTGGCCCTAACACTGAGCCCTGAGCTGCAAGAAGTTTCCCCAGACCAGAATCTTAAGTGTCGGAACCATTCACCTTAATTAAACTACATGCACACGATTTGGCATGCATTAATCTACATTAAATATTACATAATTTGAATTCATGTCTGTGATGTAAAGTCAAGACCTGCCTAACATATAGCTAAAATGATATAAAAACCTGGGTTTGGTCTGATACTGTTAAAAATATTCCAGAGCCATATCACATTATTTGTCACTACGCAACCTCAGGTAACAGCTATGCTGAATAAGCTTAGTTTGTTTTAGAGGGATATTTAAAAAAAATAATTCTTGTGGGTGTGAATAAGAATTTTGAGACAATATTTTTGCTGTTTTCCAAGTGGCCCTTGTCCAGATTCACTTCCCATATAATAAGTGATCTGAAAATGCAACCTGCACTATCACAGGCAAGGTAAGATTAAAAACGCATGCTTCACCATTTTATGCATGCAAACTTCTAAATATTGTTCTCAGATGCATCATTAGCTGTTCTGAACACATTTACTATTGAGAACCCTATGCAATCCCACAAAACTTAAATGAGAAAGCACTTCTTCCTAAAACCATCTCAAAATTTGACCCCCTTAGGACCCTTCAGCAGCTCTCTCAACTACAAAACTAAGTTTTTGCAGTGCAACACCATAGCCCTTGGAAATGATCCTACAGTGCATGACTACTGTGTCAAATACTTTTTGCACTCCTCAGGTTGTGGAAATAGCAAATATTTCTGTGAGTAATGCTAATCATCTGCAAGATATTAATTTTTTCCTCTCCAAAAGGAAGATAAACACATTACTGATTTAACTCCTAAGCAAAATGCTGATGCTGTCACTGTCCAGCTGCAGCAGAAAAGTTTCTAATATTTCTGTTTCAGGCTAGTCATGCTTAGAACATGTGTATATGCAGATACACATGCAGATATATATCACACTATGCCAACACACAGAAATGCACCTGAACAGAAGCTTTTCCTCTTTTTAATACAGCTGAGGATCAAATATAACTTAAATTTCAAAACTGACTGGGAAAGTACCTAACTCATGTTAATCTTAAACCAATTGGAAGAGAGACCATTGTTGGGATATAAGTGTGTCCAGTGGACCTACATCAGTACCAAGCCAAGGTCCCCATCTCTTATATATCCTAAGTAATATAAATTAATAAAATGAACAATAAAATTGCCTTTGTAGTCAGAACATGTAGAAAGTACATTTCAGCACAACCTTAGCTTACCAAGCAGGATCAGACAGCTGGACTGTTTTATGGAACCAATATAGTCAGAAGCCACAGTAAGTAAGCACTTCCAAAGTAAAGAGAAACAAGTATGTGCAACCAACACGATGCTTCAAAGAAATAATAACAATGCTGTCCGCAGTACATAAACACTATAAGGCTTTTGCCTTGTTAGATGCAGCTTAATCTGGGAGACTTTTCTGGGCTTTGCATTGTTTCTTTATGAATTTCCCCCCTACTCTTGAGAAAATAAAGCTAAATCCCTTGTTAAAACAATATCAGACAGGTACCACCCTCTCCAGTTAACTGACTGTTCTTTCCCCCCCTTTTAAAATACAAAGTACCTTTTTCCTTGACATATACCTCACTTCTATGTTGACACATGCACATACAACTTGGCAGAGGTAAAATCTGCCTATTCATTATAGGCTCTGCACTTTACCTTTAAAGGTCAAGCAGAAGGAAAAGCTAAACCAAATATAAAGCAAACTATAATAGAAGCTATACAACACAGAGAGTTACAAAAAACAAGTGTCTTTGGCAACAGACTTTCACATGGAAAAGCACAAGAAAATAAACAGAAAAAAATTAGAAAAAACAAGCATTATTATTAAAAAAACACAAACAAATCAAATTCTAAAGAGCACCCAAAACCAGAAAACTGAATACATGACAGTTTCCAAGTATAAGAACAAAAACAAGAGCTTGGATATGACCCTTTGTTGCATGTCATTTCATTTAAAATGTTAAGATAAACAACATTAATTAGTAAATGGACTAATTTCCAAGACATTCATCTTGGGTAATATTTTTGACATAGTTTTATTAGTCAACAGAATTTAAAAAGGTCATTAGAGTAGAAGAACATATACACAGATGGTATTATGGCATTCATTGAGCAGTGTAATAGAAAGTTACTTTATCTCCAGATTGCTATCTGAAAGTCTGTTTCTACTCTGCAAATACAGAGCAACTTGTAAAAGTGAGAGAAAGAAAAACCAAAACAAAAAAACTGACAACACATATTTCCAATGAGATCAGAATCAATGCAGTGCAGACACTATAAATTTATTTTCTTTTGAAGGAACTATTTTGCAGCCCATACGTGGTTTCTTTTCAGATTAAGTAACTTTATTTCTTCTTGAGTCAAAAGTAGAGAAATGTGAATATTATGGGTTTAAGTAGGTATTGCATTATTTCAAATCAAAAGTAGCCAAGTCCACTAATAGCCTGCCCTGCTGCTGCAGCAGCAGATGTTCTATAACAGAGACTGGAGAATGCACTTTTTATCATACCAACAAAAGCAACACTGTTCTCTACACACAACTGGTCCACAGTATGTTTTCTGACAATAGGCAAAGGGTCATCTCTCATGACAAGAACAGCCTCCAGCATGGATTAGAAATGTAAGAAAAACATTTGACGTACTTGGATCTGACAAGATTGAGTCGGTTTTCGGCAAAAATTGGTCACAGCGGACTCCTTGGTAGCCCTCTTTGCACCTGAGAAAAAGGGGATAAATGACAAACATACGCATGCGATAGTAAAAGGTTAATTTCAAGGTAGCAAAATGAACTGAAATTCTCCCTGCCAATGCCGCAGGGGACTTGCGTATCTACAGTTATTTCAACAATAGTGGAAGCAAGACTATTACTGAAACACAACAGAAGCATGTAAAATTATTTGTATTTAGAAAAATTACCCTCAAACCTTTGTGATTATTTTAGAAACTTTGAAAAGAAGCATCATTTAAGCATAACTTTTCTTTTACATATCAAGTCTGTGAAACAAAGAAAAATTCTCTATAAAATAGACATATTTGTAATAAAATAAACTCATTAGGTAACATAAAGCTTCTGTACTGTACAAATTATCAGATTAACTTGTTTATCTTTTGGTGTTTTAATACACAGGTAACACTTGGCTCTTAATTAATAAGACTAGTTTTCTACTGTGAACAAAAGATAACACGCTGAGGCATGATAGACAACATCAGGCATTGTTTGTGAGTGGACAGTCTTAGATATCTGTGGAATTATATTTTAAAGCACATAAACCAGAATACCCTCCTGCCTTAAACAAGAACTGGCTTTGACTATTATTTATCTTAAAACTTAACTTTGAAGAAATTTCATTTACTGTATTTAGACTGATCTCAGAAGTTACTCTCACTCAAAAAAAGTGTATTCACAATCAGACCTTTAATTATTTATTTGCCAAGCAGTTTTTTCTCTTAAGAAAAGTGATGGACACTTTGATTATAAATGATAGTAACAGAAACTCTTTATCACACAGAGTTCTTGCACGTCATATAAAAAATATACTCAAACCAGCATTACCTCCTTTCATTAGGATTGACAACTGCAGTTTGAACGATGTGATAATGTCAGAAGCAGAAATTATCTGCTCATTCACAATGTTTCTAGTCAGGCTTCCTCTAAAAGTTACCTTTTAAAATGCTTTTGGTTTAATAAATTAATGTTTCAGTGAGAAGCACGTCTGACCAGCATTGGTTCAGGGATTAGTAAGCACATTTGTGAGAAAATATGTAAATTATAAGAACTCCCATCAGACCAAAAAATGCAGTAAATATCTACAGTAAAGACTTAAAATCCCCAAACTCTCCTTTTTGTTTTTTCTCCCTGATGGCTACTTAGTGCTACTTTGGAGAGCAGCTTCTTACTGATGATACTTGCAAACTATAAAATGACTGACTAGGAAAAATGTAATTCAGATCCTAGGGCAGTAGTCATAAGTTATCACTTAAGGAAAAAAAGAAAAAGTGGTTTTGTTTTGTCTTTTTAATGCAGAATATTCAGATATTTAGTTAAAATTGTCCACTAGTCAGAAAAAAAAGTCTGCATATACTCAGACATTGTTGCATGCACCTTTTGCTTCTGATTATCAAATATCATAAGCTGCCTCACATCAAACAGCAACTTTTCTTCAGAGTCTTGAGAGTTGGTAGATTTAAAAGATTAAGAACAACCAACAGGGGTGGGGATAGCCTTGTCTTTACATAAGTATTTTCTATTAACTTTCTGACATACATTTGTGCCTGCCTCAATTACTATTACCCTATTACAGACTTAAAACTCTATGTCCTAAACCACTGGTCTGCATGACATAAAAGTGTTCATCACACAGCCTGATTCCACAACTTAAAACTTTGATTCTATCTGCAAGGATAAAAAGAGAGTAGTATCTCTTGGAGGACCTGTACCAAATACTCAGAAGCATGTGTAAATACCCACCAGCCAGGAGCAGGCAGTGCAATGTTACAAGTACCCTCACACCAATGGGAGGAATCCCTTCCCTTCCTCTGATGGCCATGGGGCACACCTGAGACAGAGACTCTGCTGCCTTCCTTATCACTTCATTCTTAACAGAACAAAAAATAAACAATCTCATTTCACAGCTAAGAAACAGAGCTTGCACCATTTATTCCAGCTGTCAGGTGGCCCAGGTAATTAATTTTGGTCCAGTCAATTAATTGCTCATGCCAGAATTAGAGAAGAGACTTTTTGCCACTATTAGCTGCTAGGGTGGATTTGGAGGAATTCTACCATGTCAGGGCCAAAACATCCACCAGTCTTTAGTTTCCTAAAATACTTTCTGTATCTTGCAAAAATGGCAAAAGGTGCTGTTGCTATTTTCACTTTTCATTTAATGTCGTTTGCAAAGCTTGCGTTTTATCAGTTGCAATTGTGGCAGATGCCAATAAAATTAGTGGCCTCAAAAACAATCTGATGAGAGACTCCTTTAACTGGTACAAGTATCACCCCAGCACAAGACCCTGAGTTACATGTGTTTCTGTGTCTTTCTCTTTCAGACTTTGCAAGAGCAATGGGGTTGGAACAGAATACATCACAGAGTCACTCAGATTTACAACTTCTCCCTTGTAAAACCCAGCACCTCTATCACCTGACTGAATTGCATGCTGCTACAACTACAGTGCAGTCTGGAGATAATGATAGGGACGGGTTCCTTCTCTTAAAATGTATTGCCTATCATATCAAAGTAGTATTTTTATCCTGACTTTATCATACATATAATTCTGCTATTCTCCACCACTATGAAATTGGAGTCAGTAATGAGCTGACTGACCTGGATGAGTCTAAAGTAACATTTTCACTTCCCTGTACACTTCAATGAAATGAAATGCCAGAAGAGGAATTTACTTTTGTTACTTTCAAAATTTAGTACAGAAGTGGCTGATATGGCAAAGAAGAGATATAATCTTTAAATGTAATAACATAATCTTACACTAACAACTACTATGGCCATAGATAGCTTGGTTTTTCTTTTTTTTAAATTATATTAACTTCTTCAGCAAAGGTAAAAACTAATCCTCCTAGTTTCAATGAAAACTTTGAAAGCCATAAGACATCAAATAATATCAATAACTGCTCTGCCAATATTGCACCAAAGTTAAAACTTTTGTAATTAAGTCTTATGAAAATGAAGTCTTGTAGAACATACATTTGACAGTTATAATGTTACAATATGATAAAAGCTAATAATGTTTTTGCCTCTTAGAATCTTTGCTATTTTAGCAAAGTAATTTATATATACATTTGCCATCCATCCTAAATGGATGGGCAGATGTGATGGTTGTGTTCACAATACTTGGCATACATACATGCTAGTAACTGGCAACACAGCTCTAAGATAAAATGAACAACCAACAAACCCACCACAAAAAATCCCTAAAAATCCAGCACTGTTATGTCACATACAGAAGTTCAGGGAAGTCCAACCGAGGTTGTTCAATATTGCCATATGCAGTGTGAATGATCACATTCCTATTTATGGATGTATTAAAAAAAGCTGTGAGTAATCAGCAAAATCTGGTAAAATGCTTTCATGCAGCCTGTTTGTGAAATGATCATTTGATTATGTGACAAAAAAATGTGTATTAGATATGCCTTTAAAAAGGAACAGGAAAATGAAAGCAGGATAACCTAAGCTCCTTTACAGCACCAGAAATCATTCATTTCTGTGCTGAAGTGCTGCACTCTATGAGCAGGCTTGGGCACATGCTTAAGTGCAGACCATGGTGAAGGGCTCTATAAATAGTGTTAATTATAGCATCTTTGCAAACTACATATGAAAAAGGATTTTTCTATTTTGCTTTCAGATCTTCACCAAAATAGCTGTATGTTTAGGCTCTAGACCAAAAATATCAACAAGATTTTTGAAGGGAATGATTTAAATCTTTCTGATTAAATTATATGAAAGAAGAATTACAGGTAAAGCTAATCTGCAGCTGCTACAATGCTTGCAAACAGTACATCCCTAAATGATACCTCCTAAATTCAGATAAGATTACTTTATCATCTGTTGTTCAGATGTTTCATTGGTAATGTACTTTCTCTAGACTAAATATTTTCAAGGTCAAAACCAAACTGTACTGTGCACTGCATTTCACAGGGTCACCCACAATATCCTTTGTGTGAAAACATGCTCGCAAAAACACACTTCTTATTCCTGGTGAAAAGTTTTTTCTTTCTACTCCAACGTATTTGCACTTTAGTATTAAAAGAAAGCAGAGTATGAGCGTTCATTCAACCCTCCTGTCCACGTTTTGAATATTAAAGACTATTAAAACATGTATATTCTGGTCAAAGGTATCACTGGCATTTTCTCTGGATATTTCTCAGAAATGCTTCTTGTGTATTCAAAACTTATGGAACCAGGGGAGATTTCAAATAAATGACTTCATCATCTGTTTGATCATCTATCACATACATGCATCATTTATTCATGTAGGAATAACACAGAACTTACAGCACTTCAAATCCCTAGATTTGACAGAGGACACACCAGTAAAAAGTACAGTGAATTGGGGCAGGGAGGTGGCAAACTGCATATTAAAGCAAATCTGAAGAATAAAATATATCTAAAGCCAGCAGGAGAAAGGGAAGATGTTAAAAGGAACCCACTTAGAAGAGTTAGGGAATCATATAATGGTTTGGGTTGGAAGGGACATTAAAGGGACACCTTTCACTAAACCAGGTTACTTAAAGCCCCATCCAACCTGGCCTTGAACACCTCCAGGGATGGCGCAGCCACAGCTTCTCTGGGCAACCTGTGCCAGTGCCTCACCACTCTCATAGTAAAGAACTTCTTCCTTAGATCTAATCTAAATCTCCCCTCTTTCAGGTTAAAGCCATTATCACTTCTCCTGACACTACATACCTTTGCAGAAAGTCCCTCTCTAGCATTTTAATAGGCTCCCTTTAGGTGTTAGAAGGCTGCTCTCAGGTCTCCACAGAGCCTTCTCCAGCTCCCTCAGCCTGTCTTCATAAGAGAGGTGCTCCAGCCTTCTGATCATCTTTGTGGCCCTCCTCTAGACTTGCTCCAACATCACATCCTTCTTATGTTGCAGGCCCCAGAGATGAACGCAGTACTCCAGGTGGGGTTTCACAGAGTAAAATAAAAGAGGAGAATCACTTCCCTCAGCCTGCTGGCCATACTCCTTTTGATGCAGCCCAGCATA